ATGGCTGTTGCCTAGGAATTGTGAACTTCTTGCGTGAAGGGGCCAGCAGAGAAGAGGTATGGCCATCTAACTACAGTGTTGACCCTGATTGTCAGGAGTAGATAAACCACTGTCACACTAGGAGACATAGGGGAATATGCTTACCATCCGGCTGGTTCCCTCAGGCACCTTTTAGCATTCCCCTGCCCTATTTTGGTGATGAAAACACAAGTGCAGCAGCCATGACTTGAGGAGCGCCAGGATCCCAGGGCTCAGACCTGTCAGGGTCACACCATCAGATAAGCCACAAAGGGAGCAGAGATGCTGGCTAAAAGTTGCAGCCTTGAGATCAGCTGCAGTGAGCTGTTACTCTCCTCCCGTTTTTCTTCTTCTAAGTTTCCACCATGAAGGGAGATTCTTAAGTATGCTGGAGGTGCTATTTCTAGAACTTTTATGAAGTAGATCGAAATAGCACAAGAGGTGCTGTGGTGGATCCTGTGATGTGCCGCCTGGGTCGCCTCTCAGGGACAAAGGACTTATTTCTACACAGCCGCTCAAAATGGTCATAACAGAAAGTCCTCATCTGTAAGCCCTTTACTGGAATTTCCTTAAATGAAACAAACTGTCTCATCTCATTTTGGGACAACTCTGAAGGGTCCCAGGTTCAGAACTCCCATGGGAACCCTTGAAGCCTCTATTACACAACTTCACAGATCAACTCTGCTTCTTTCCCTCTCCTTTTATAGGTGCTTTTTCCAAGAGCATTTTTGAATACATTTCTTACAAATTAATCTCTGTCTCAGTACCTGATTCCTGGAGACTAGTGTCATCCATGTCAGGGGAAGAAGGGCTTTGGACTACCTATCCAAAAGGATAATCATGTGTGATCCAGAGGAAGCAAGGGTTCTATCAAAAGCAGCAATATGTATAAAAACACTGACAATCTAAAATAATCCAAGAGGCAGAATATAAATTAAAGAGAATTTGTTCAAGCACAGGAGTTCAAGGATGGGCTTCCTGGGAATCACAGATACCAAAGAATGGAAGTCAGTGCTCCAAAGTGTAGAATTCTGTGATCGCCTATATAGATAAAGTTTAGGGATTTTTAACAGAATTTCAGTGTATTCTATGCAAGAGCTAAATGCATAGTTACAAAGATCTGATTAGTTGAAGTGATTTTTTTTTTCTTTCAGGAAAGGTACATTTAACATTCCCCAGTGAAGATATTAACTGTCACGGGGTCTTGTGTAGCATTTGGTCTGAGTTAAGTACAGGACAATAAAACAGGTAATCTATAACAAACATCAGTGATTCTAAAGGGAGAGATCTGATCTCAGGTCTTCCTTGTTGTTTACAGAACATAAAGAGTAAGGAAGAGTTAAGCTATAATCTAAAAAGCAAAGTTACAAACACAAAGTGGGCAAGAGATTTGAACAGAAACTTCTCTGAGGATGACAGACGAATGGCCAACAAACACGAAAAAATGCTCATCGTCTTTAATCATCAGAGAAATGCAAATCAAAACTACTCTAAGATATCACCTAACCCCTACAAGATTAGCCCACACCATAAAGTCCCCAAACACAAGATACTGGTGTGGATGTACAGAGAAGGGAACACTTCTACACTGCTGGTGGGATTGCAAACTAGTACAGCCTTTTTGGAGAGGAATCCAAGTATGGAGAATCCTCAAAGATCTGAAAGCAGACCTTCCATTTGGCCCTGAAATTCCATTACTAGATATCTACTCAGAAGAACAAAAATAATTTTACCACAAAGACATTTGCACTAGAATGTTTATTGCGGCTCAGTTCATATTGCCAAGTTGTGGAAGCAACCTAAGTGCCCATCAACCCATGAAGGGATCAACAAACTGTGGTATATGTATACCATGGAATATTATTCAGCCATTAAAAAAGATGGAGACTTTCATCTTTTACATTTACCTAGACTGAGTTGAAATACATTCTTCTTAGTATCTCAAGAATGGAAAGATAAATATCCAGTGTACTCCATACTAATATGAAATCAATATATAAACAATTACATTTTCCTAAGAACAATAACACTAGTATAGTCCAGTTTGAGGGTAGAGGGAAGCAGAAGGAGGAGGGGAGAGGACGTATGGCAGAGGGAGGGAGGGCATGAGGCAGGACCTCACCTAATGTGCACATTGTGAGGGTGTGTAACATGCCCCCTGGGTGAGGGGCTATTCTACAAATGGAACTTTACCCTGGAAGTAAGAACAATGTAACCTGAATTCTGTACCTCATATTAATTTGAATAAAGTTTAAAAAATTAAAAAATAAACAATAACAACAACAAAATTGCAAATATGCTACCTAACTTGGCCCCTGGAGCTGAACTTTCCCCTTGGTATAATAAATTTAGAGGGTCCTAAAATTTTATTTTTTTAATATTTATTTCTTTTACAATACTATGTAAAAGAGGACTGGGCAAATGAGAAAGGAGAAAGTGATCAAGAAAGATATATTAAGGAGGTGGGATATGAGTTAAGGTCTTGAAGAACGGGACCCCGGGGTCACTAGTGTCCTCCATTAGGAAAGACAGAGATTCAGAGCAGTAGCAGTTAAGGAGAAGTAAGGCTACTTGAAATCCCTGACAGGGAAATGGGAAAGGAGAAATTACATTTCACAGCAATGTACCAAGCTCTTTAATGTATGACAATTTTCTTACTTTTCCTTCTGCCAAAATTTTAATCCTTGAAGATTATAGATTTAAGCATAGAGGTATAACAAAGAAGTAGCTGTCCGGAGAAAGAACTTTTTTCCTCTGCCTTCTTGGGTTCAGTGCCTGGGGCCTGTAAAAGTAGACTGAGAAAGACAAAGTAACAGGACAAAAGGGTTTATTTGTATCCACAAGGAAACCAACAAAAGTAGCTGGCTCGTTAATGGTTGAAGGATTATATATATAATTCATCCCAGGAACTGGACAAGGGAGAAAATTAGGAGAAAAACAAGTAGGTGTCTTTAAGGAACACAAATGGATTTCTTTAGAGAACAAAGGGGAGATGAGAAAGTTTATGGTACTGTTCACCTATACCCAGTGTGTGTGGGCTCTCTGTCTTCTCAGGACCATAAAACCCCCCTGGTAAGGGCACTTATGGTGGATTTACTCTGGGCTTCCAATCTGGAAATTTCCAAAGAGGAAATTTGTGACAGTCCTCATTTCTCCAAACTTTTTGCTTTTAGTCAGACCAAGGGAAGCTCCGAGAAGGTTTCTTTCTGCATCTATTAAATCTGAAATGTCAGCTTAAAATAATTTTTTAAAAATTTGTTTTAAAAGTCTCACTCTGTTGCCCCAGGCTAGCATGCCATGGTGTCAGCCTAGCTCACAGAAACCTCAGACTCATGGGTTCAAAGGATCCTCCTACCTCTGCCTCCCAAGGAGCTGGGACTTGGTGCCCACCACAACGTCCAGCTACTTTTTAATTTTTTAGTAGAGATGGGGTCTTGCCTTTGCTCAGGGTGGTCTCAAACTCCTGAGCTCAAGAGATCCTCCCACCCTGACCTCTCAGAGTATTAGAATTGCAGGCGGAAACCTCACCCTGACCTAAAATGATCTGTATACCAACTCTGGAGTTTTGAGTGGATACCCACACAGCAAAGCATAGAGACAGAATGTTGCATTCAAATTCCAGCTCTAGCATTTACTAGCTAGTTGTGGGATTTCACTTAATCCTACTTTCCTCCTCTGTGAGATTGGGAAAATTATACCTATCTCCCAAAATTTGTTGTAAGGATTGAATTAATGCTGAGCCCATCGAAAAATATCTAATACATTATCTTAAAAATGTATGGTAAAAGACTGGGTGCAGTGGCTCATGCCTGTAATCCTAGCACTCTGGGAGGCTGAGGCAGGTGGATTGCCAGAGTTGGAGACCAGTCTGAGCAAGAACAAGTCCTCATCTCTAAAAAAAACAATGGCCGGGCCTTGTGGGTGTAGTCCTGGCTACTTGGGAAGCTGAAGAAAGAGGATCACCTGAGCCCAAGAGTTTGAAGTTTCTCTGAGCTGTGACACCATGGCATTCTACCCAGAGTGATTGAGACTCTGTCTCAAATATATATATATACATATATATACACACACACACACACATATATGTATATATATTTATATATGTGCGTGCTAATTATTATCATGATTACTCTGAGATAATGCTCCTAGGACTGGGGAATTTTTTCTTTCTCCAAGTAAGAAAATTCTCAAAGGAAAGAACTGACAGGACTTGACAGCTCTGTGGATCACGAAGAAGCAGTAGGCAAACAGCAGAGGTTTTAACTACTGTTTTGCCACTTAACTTTCCCATGCCTCAGTTTGCCCATCTGTAAAATGGGGTAATAGTACAATATGTACTTCTTAGGGCTGTTGTGAGAATTGAAGTAATTACTTATAAGGTGCCTGGATTGGGGGTTAGAACGTCGTAAAGAACTCAATAAACGTTAGCTTTTACCATCGTGGATACAGGGTGGTGAAGGACCTAAGTTCTAGCCCAAATTTTAGGCAGTCACAGCTGTTTGGCTTTTACTGCTTCTTAGTTCATCATTTCTGAGTCTGAGTTTCCTCATCTGAATCAAAGGTGACTCAAAGATTCTCAGGGTGACTCAAGGGTACTGGTGCCAGTGGCAAAGCAAGGGAAATCGAAAAGAGGCGCCTCCTCGCCAGAGGCAACACATGCTGTGGGAGGATCCCTGCCCGCCTCTGCACTCTCCCTCACCCCTTCTATTCCAGGGATCTGAGTGCAGATTTGGACAGAGCCTCTGAAGGGCCCTCCACAAACTACACCACACGGGGTGCCAAAGAACTAGCCCTGCGCAGGCTAGGCCTCGCTCGGCGTGACCGCAGAGCAGGGCCCTTGGTAACCGCAGCTCGCGCGGTCTCGGTCGGGGCGGAGCGAGATAGAGGGGCAGGGCACCTAGGCGGTCCCGGGCACGCCCCTCTTATCTCCGCCTTCTCAGAGTTGACAGGACTCCCCACCTCTGCGGGAATCAGCTGCTGGGGACCAGAGGAAGAGGAAGGGGCGGAGCTGCTTTGCGGCTGGCCGCGGAGCAGTCAGCCGACTACAGCGAAGGGTAATCGGGTGTCCCCAGCGCTGCCTGGGGCCCTGAGGGCCAGCCAGGACCTAGGCCAGTGGGGGCTGTCTAGGAAGCCCGGCAATGCCCCGCCACGGGATATCACCCCGCCACGGGGTGTCACCCTGCCAAAGCCACCCGAAGTCTGGCCGGGAGCAGGGACTGGACAGCTCCTCGGGGGCCCTCCAACTCCTTTGGGTGGGCCTGGGCCTGGCGCTGGCGCTGTCTTTGCCTGACTCCTCGGTTCTCTGGGCCCCGGCAGCAGCCCATCCTCTTCCTGCCCGAGGCCATCCAGCCACACTCAATGCCATTGTGCCCCAGCTCCGAGATGCCTTTGGGTGGTGGAATCTCACCTGTCCAGTCTGCAAAGTCCTTTTCACCGCCGTCAACTTCGGGCTGAAGGTGAGCCGAAGCGGGCTAAGTGGAGTAGGCCAACCCGGAGCGCCGGGTAGGGGGCGGGGCCAATCAGGAAGCCCTAGGGTCCCATGCCGTTCCTGATGGGGAGGGTAGCATCTACAAGCCTTTACTGAGTTTGCTCCCTTTTGGGGACACCCGTGGCTATGTGGCACCACCACTTTATTGTGACCTTTGTGAAATAAAAAAAGAATGCAGACAATGTGGGAGAAAGCCAGCGGGTGAGGCAAAAGCCTGAAATGCCACTGGCCACAGAGCTAAAGAGGAAGCAGTGGCCTGGTGCTGCTTGCCACAGGTCAATGTCCAGAAGGCAGGGGGTGCACTGAAGTTCTTTCACCCTGGTGGTGTTGAGCAAAACCCAGCCCCAATTTGGATATGGAAGCCCAAGGGGTGATGGCCATGGTTGGCCTGGTTCCTCTGCTCTACCTGACTTCTCACCATTCCTTCCTCCCACCACAGAAGGAGCCCAATGTGGCGCGGTTGGGTTCCATGGCCATCAAGTTGTGTGAGCTGCTAAAGATAGCACCGCCTGCTGTGTGCCAGTCAGCTGTCCAACTTTTTGAGGATGATATGGTGGAGGTATGGACACGCTCAGTCCTTAGTCCATCTGAGGCCTGTGGCCTGCTCCTGGGCTCCACCTGTGGACACTGGGACATCTTGTCATCTTGGAACATCTCTTTGCCAGCCACACCAAAGCCACCACCCAAGCCACCCAGCCCCCCAGCCCCAGGTGCTCCTGTCAGCCGGGTCCTCTTTCTCACTGACCTGCACTGGGATCATGACTACCTGGAGGGCACGGACCCTAACTGTGCAGACCCACTGTGTTGCCGCCGGGGCTCTGGCTTGCCACCCACCTCCCAGCCAGGTGCTGGATACTGGGGCGAGTACAGCAAGTGTGACCTGCCTCTGCGGACCCTGGAGAGCCTGTTGAGTGGGCTGGGCCCAGCTGGCCCTTTTGATATGGTGTACTGGACAGGAGACATTCCTGCCCATGATGTCTGGCAGCAATCTCGACAAGACCAGCTGCGTGCCCTGACTACCATCACAACCCTCGTGAGGAAGTTCTTGGGGCCAGTGCCAGTGTACCCTGCTGTGGGCAACCACGAAAGCACACCGGTCAATGGCTTCCCTCCCCCATTCATCAAGGGCAACCACTCCTCCCGTTGGCTCTATGAGGCAATGGCTAAGGCATGGGAGCCCTGGCTGCCTGCTGAAGCCCTTCACACCCTCAGGTACTTATGGTCCATGGAAACCCAGGTAGGGAAAAGAACTGTGGATGAAAGTGAAGGGAGAGAACCTGGGGCATTAGCAGTGACTGCTCTAGCATGAGTCCTCAGTGCTCTTCACCAGCACCCCTCATCTGACCCCACCTTACTGGTCACCCTCCTTCAACATGCAGACAGCATACCCTCTCCATGCCCCAGTCTGTGTCTTTACTCATCCCCAGTTGTTCCCATCTTACCCAAGCCCGGGTGACAGGGAGATTCCCTCTGCATGACCTACACTTCCCATTTTAGTTCACTCTTGTTTCTCCCCTGAATTCCTAGAGCCTTCAGTCCTCTGAGCCATTCTTTTCTGCCAGATAGACCCTATAAGTAGTACTGTTTGTTCAGCTAGAATGGGAGCTTTTTGAGGATGGGGATGAGGCCGTGTATGCCTCTGCCCTCCACCCAGATGCCCAGCATAAGACTGGGCCTACAGGACCAGAATAATGAATGAGTGACTGTTGACCCTTTGTGTTTACTTTGTTTCAGAACTGGAGGGTTCTATGCCCTTTCCCCACGCCCTGGCCTCCGCCTCATCTCTCTCAATATGAATTTTTGTTCCCGTGAGAACTTCTGGCTCTTGATCAACTCCACAGATCCTGCAGGACAGCTCCAGTGGCTGGTGGGGGAGCTTCAGGCTGCTGAGGATAGAGGAGACAAAGTGAGGAGGAGTGGTGGGAACGTGGTGGGAATGTGGTGGTGGAGGTGTGCAGGGGGCTGGGGAAGAAGCAGGCTCCTGTTGGGCTGGAGCATCTATGGACAAAGAAGTCTGATTTTCTGATGCTCCCAACAACACTGTTCCCTTGGGTTCCCAGCTCATGGTCATCCTTGAATTCCTTTCATTCACTTCTCCCCTCTCCCAGCTCTGGCCTGAGCTATCTGGACACCTTGATGCCCTGATAACTTGGCTTTACACTCCCGCCAGGTGCATATAATTGGCCACATTCCCCCAGGGCACTGCCTAAAGAGCTGGAGCTGGAATTATTATCGGATTATAGCCAGGTAGGAGGAAGATGGGGTGGGAGATGGGAGTGAGAGAAGGGTGGGGTGAGGGGATGAAGTGTCTCAGGGTTGGAAATTCCCTTGGGCATCTCACCGTCCCTACTGCCCCACGGAGTAGGGAGGCTACTTACTTGAACAGGCTGGAGAAAGAGCATTCCATCTCCCCAGATCTTTTCCTCCCCCTCCCTAGAATCTTCTGAATACAATTCGTGTTTTTTGGCCAGGTATGAGAACACTCTGGCTGGGCAATTCTTTGGCCATACTCATGTGGATGAATTTGAGGTCTTCTATGATGAGGAGACTCTCAGCCGGCCGCTAGCTGTTGCCTTCCTGGCACCCAGTGCCACCACCTACATCAGCCTCAATCCTGGTGAGTGAGGCAGAAGGGAGCCTTCCTCACCCTGGAATTGACAGGGAAAAGGGTGGTGCTGGGAGTGGGGAAAGCCAGGGCTGGCCTACAAAGGTACCAAGGGGGACTTGCCTCTGCTTCTTTCCTCTCCTTCCTTGCAGGTTACCGTGTCTACCTAATAGATGGGGACTACCCAGGGAGTTCTCACGTGGTTCTGGACCACGAGACCTACATCCTGAACTTAACACAAGCCAACATGCCAGGAGCCACACCACACTGGCAGCGCCTCTATAAGGCTCTAGAAACCTATGGGCTGCCCAATGCCCTGCCTGCTGCCTGGCACAACCTGGTCTATCGAATGCGGAGCGACAAGCAACTCTTCCAGACCTTCTGGTTTCTCTACCATAAGGGCCACCCGCCCCCGGAGCCCTGTGGCACACCCTGCCGCCTCACGACTCTGTGTGCTCAGCTCTCTGCCAGGGCTGACAGCCCTGCTCTGTGCCGCCACCTGGTGCCAGATGGGAACCTCCAAGATATCCAGAGCCTGTGGTCACGTAAGGTGTTCTGTTAGGGCCCCAGGGCCCAGAGCTGGGAAAGTTCTTGACTTTGGAAAGGAGGGGAAGTCCCATAGCACGGTAGTGCTTCAACCTGGCAATCGTGTCTGGTGGAAGAGCCCCTCCCTGGACGCCAAGTACACTAGGAAACAGGACCTTCTTTCCTGGAGCTGGTTTAGCTGGATATGGGAGGATTGGCTGCTCTGCCTGTGTCCAGTATCTAGACTGCTGTGGAGTGGCTGTTCTTTCATAGCCCTGGAGCTGAGGCCTAAGTTGACACTGCCCTGGGCAGACCAGACAGGAACTGTCACCCCAGGCCTGTGATGCCCCAGCCAGGAACCTTGTACAGCTGCTACTGCCTGATCCTGCTGGGCTATTAAAATAAAGATAAGAGACTTAGACTTCAGACTCCTCTGTGACTAACCTAATTTCTTCTTTCCACACAGCCAGGGTAAGGGGACCTGGGAGCAAGATGGTAACTGCAGGGTGATGGGGTTGGTGGCGTGGCATAAGCATAAGAAGGCATACAGCAGTGCAGACAGACTTTATTAGTGATATCAGTACAGCAGAGGCCACAGAGCAGTGGGGAAGGGATCCATGCCTGGACCAGTCCCCTCCCTCTGTCCCTGCTGGGCCTTAGGAGGATGGGGCCTGGCTTGGACCAGTTCCTCCTGCTCCACCTGAAACACATGGGGATGGAGCCTGAGACTGGCCATGCTTCCTGCTCCTCTGGTCATCACTCCAGTGTCACCACTTCCCTGAAGGGATTAGATTTCTCCCTCCCCAGCCCCTAGGCAGAGAACCCAGCTACTGGGGAGGAGCAGCTTTGAGGAAGCCTGAGGCCTAAGAATACCCTCTAGGACCCCTCCCTGCCCCATACCCTTTAGTTCCCTGGGGCCTGACACAGCAAGTGAAGGGAGGATGGGGGCTTCTTCATGGGGTATGGGCCCCCAACCGTTTGGGTTTAAGGGAGCCCCACAGCGACTGAACGCCCCTGCGGACAGTCCAACCTACACGCCGGGCAACAGACTCAGCAGGGGGTGCTGGGAGGCAGGAGGTGGAGGCCTGCGAGCGGGCATCCAGACACTTCTGGTAGCGAAGCTGCAGAAAGGCAGACAGGGCAATCACTTTCCAGTCTGCCCCAGGTGGGACACACCACCACCCCACCACCCTCCGGGCTTACCATGCACGCAGCCTGCACAGCCTCTGAGAGGCTGGCAGCATTGGGCTCGCACCAGAACATGTGGCAGCAGAAGGAGGCTGGGCCGGCAGCCATGATGAATGCAAATGTGTGGACATCTCTGCCCACAGCCAGGAAGGAGAGGAAGCGCACCCGACACTCCCCTAGCACAGCCTCTGTCTGGAAGGAAGGAATTCAGTTAAAAAGGCATACCTTCCAGTCTCTGTGTTCCACTAAGGCACATCCATTTTACTGGCAGCTTTTTCCCTCACCCCTAGTCTCTGCCTCACCCCATTTCAAGGCACAGCGATGCTTTCTCATTCCCCAGCTCTTTACCTGCTGGTGCAAGATGGTAAGGGTAGCAGGGGCTACACTGACGTGACTTGGGGTCCACTGCTCACGGCTGCTGGAGGACAGGACTGACTCCAGGGCCCCATTTATCACGTCTACCCCTAAAAGATATGGACAAAACATGACATCACTGAGGGTAGGGAGAGGCTACCTTGGCTCTACTCTAGACCTTCTAATTCTGCCCAGTTACTCCCCGGCCTTTTGCCCGTCCCTGCTTCACCAGGCTCTAGCACGGATGACAAGGTTATCCAGGTCACCCCTCCTTGGGGCTCTCCTCCTTGGCTTCAGTGACTTGACACTTTCCTCCCTTTTTTCTACCTTGAATCCTAGGTTTGATTTTCTTCACTGGCTCTGCCTCTTCCTCCAGCCTCCTAAACTGACCCCTTAAAGTTCTGACCTCCCTAAATCTTACTCTCTCAGGGCTCAACACATTTAGACACCACATTGCTTTATGTTACAAAAGTAACTCCTAAATTAACCCCCTACAGGCCAGTCCTCTCCCAAAACCTAATTTTTTTTAAGATAGCCATTTGAGGAATATTTACACTGTATCACACTTTGCTAAATCATTACAGCATATTACCTCATTTGTGCCTGCACAACAATCACACAATAGATTATTTAGTTGCCATTTTAAAGATAAGGAAACTAAAGCTTATAGATATCAGGCAATATGCCTTAGGTCCTACTGAGGAGTGGGGATCTGAACACAGGAAGTCTGATTCCAGAACCTGGATTCTTAGCCATATCTTTCTCCTACTTCTTTATACTCTTAGTTCAGGGAACTAAAAAAGTTTTCAAAATCTTAGTTCTACTCAAGAATGTCCATAATGTGCCCAAGGTTCCTGACTTTTAGACTAATCAACTTTCTCTTAGAACAAAATAATTCCTCCGCCTCAGACTGCTGTTAAACATTTCCACTCATCCATCCCATTTTTTCTTGCATTCAACAGAGAACCAAGAAAGGAGTGTATGGTGTGGCAGAGGCATGGTTTGTAGTCCCTGTTCTACTAATGAAGTGGCTGTGTCATCTACTGTGTCTTCACACAATGCCAACTCAAAAGCCATATGCCCCTGCAGTCTACTCCTGGACCCTCTACCCCCTTTTTTTTTTTTTTGCAATTTTTTGCCGGGGCCAGGTTTGATCCCACCACCTCCAATATATGGGGCCAGCGCCCTACTCCTTTGAGCCACAGGGTGCCTCCCCCCTCTACCCTTTTCAATGCCTCTCAGCTCCCACAAGCAGCAGCCCATGTGGACTCTTTGCGGACAGAGGACAAAGCAGAAGACAAATGTCTTCCTTGAAAGTCTTCACCCATCTTGAATTTGTTCACTGTACCTCTGGCTGGAACAAGGCCAAACTCCTCTTCCAAGCATGCAAGTCCTCCAAAAATTAGCCTCATCTGAGCTGTCAAGACCCATATTTTACTGCTCCCTGAGCTTCAAATGATTTTTGCAGCATTTATTAACATCTAGTCTTGGCAAATGGCCTGCTAGGCAGACGGGAGAATACCAAACAAGAGAAGAGGATGCTCTCAAGGGATGCAGTCTGCAGCTGAGGGAAAAGCCTCTGTCTGGAGTGTCCTCCATCTCCAACTGGCTGAGAAACTCCGTATTCTCATCTATCAGGGCTCCAGGGCTCTATTCAAGTCCTGCCTGGGAAGCCTTCTTGCTGCAGGGCAGGGAGAGGAAAACTCTGAGACAACTCTTACCAAAACATCTTGCAACTGCTGGAAAACCTTATCTACACTAGGCTATGGCAATCTCAAGAACAAAGACCAAGTTTAATTCATCCCTGTGTCCCCCGTACTAAGCAAGGTTTACCTGCTGAAGGAATTCCAGACACCTGAGCAAGTCACCCTGAAGACAACATCAGCAAATGCACCCAAACTAGTAAAACTAAATGACACAGGAGTCCACAGAAGGAAGATGACACAGGAAGGAATGAATGGGCTAGGGTAGACTGCAGAGGGCTTCAAAAGCCAGGCAGAGGGGTGTGACATTTATTTCATTTAGGCCTGGGCATTGGGAAATCTCAAAGTTCATGGGTTTGGGAAGGACATCAAAGTCAAACTGCTGACTAGAAGAGGCTGTGGAATGGAGTCTGGCCTCAGAGTCTTGGGAGGCTTTGCAGAAAAGTAGTGAAAACAGTAGAACAACATGGACTGGAAAAAGGCTTGTCAGATGTGGTAAGGACTCAGGACTAAGAACTATACTCTGACTTCTAGCCTCATACTCCCAGTTCCCCTTACCCTGCTGTGCCTTTCTTTGGATCAGTTGTTGTTGCCTTCTAATACAGTAGTTTACTTATTTTACTGTCTGTCTCTCCTTGCTAGAACATGAGCTATGTAAAGGCAGGGATCTTTGTCACTTTTGTTCATTAGTATATCCCAAGAACCTGGAATAGTGCCTGGCACAAATCCAGCACTCAATCATTTGTTGAATGATAAATGAATGAAGAATGCAGCTTCATGAAGGGTCAATCTCAGGAAAGGAAGCTAAAAAGGGAACATAAGATAAAGCAGGAAGTGAGTTTAGACATTGCTTGTCCCAAAGCCCCGGCTCAAACAGAACAGACTTGTGGAACTGATGGGACAGTGCACCACAGGCAGCAAATTTGGCATAGTGAGGACACCTGTGCATGGTGGTAGACGAATGATATGGAGTGTGAGTAAGAAATGGAAGGGCCAACAAGGGTTTAGAAGTTGAGAGTAAGGAATAGAAAACAAAAGCAAAGTTGTGGGAATCAAGCAAGCCTCCTTTCCCTCCCTGAGCATGCTTTTCTCACTTCCATCTCCATGATATTGGTGGCACAGTTGAATTCAACTGGAATACCCACTCGTCTGCAAATCTGAGTGGAAAGGAATCTGGTTTCCTTCAAAACCCCAATTCAATCCTAACCTTTTCTAAGAAGGGCTCTCTCTTTGAATATGGGTTTTGGCCATTAAAGTCAGCTCATTAACGGCTGTTTTGGCCATTAAAGTCAGCATGATACAGGAGAAAGAAAGAGGATTGAATATGACCAGGGTTTGAATCCAAGGTCGACCTTTCCTGGTCATGTTATCCAGGCAAGTCTCATTCATTCGCTCATATTCATTCACGAAATATTTCTTGAGCTTTTCCTAAATGTCTTTTGACATGATACCCTACTACTAACAGTCTTTTTCCTACCTCCTATTGCTCTCCCGCTCTCACCATCCTTGGCAATTTCATCTCCTCCCATCCATTAAATGTTGGAGGGCTTCACGGCTAGGCTTAGGCTCATTTTGCTTCTCACTTCAGACTGCCCACTTTCCAGGGTCAGGAACCAATCTATTCTACACCCATGGCTTTGACTACCTCTGTAATCCAATGATATCCAAACTTCTATCTCCAGCCCAGACCTCTTCAACGTGTCCGTAACTGAACTCACCATCTCCACACCGAAACTGGCCTCTTCCAGCATTTACTACCTTTAGAGAATGGCACTACTACCCAGAAGGTCTAAAAGCTATGAATCCAGGAATCATCCTTAGTGCTTCTGTCCCTCACCCCACATCCAACTGATCACCAAACCTGTTGACTTTAATTGTCTAATCCTCTCTTGAACTCACACACTCCTCTTCAGCTCTGCTGTTGTCCAAGATACTCATTACTAGCCATGACTACTGAAGATCTGCCTGACTGAGCTCCGCACCTCACCTCCACCTCCACCCTCTTAACATCCTTCTCCGTGGTATAAACAAAGTGAGCTTTACAAAATTCAAATCTGACAAAGTCAAATGCACTCCTGAAGATTTTCTGTATAGCTCCTTGCTTCCCCAGGATGAAAAACATATTATTAACACAGCCTATGAGGGTCCTGACCACTGATCAGATCTTAGCCTTATCTTGCA